AGAGAAAGAGAAATGGACCTTCATCACATAACATTCACAGAAATAACAGTCCTCCTATGCATAGTGCCTGTCTGTATGTGTAATACCGTGTTTGTATGTTGTAGATCAAGTAAGATGCCAGGTAGGAGTATCGATACACCTAAAAACAACACAAGCGAAACTAAATCCAGAATTGTTTAGACCAAATGAAACACTATATAAAACACAACATTCATGACAACACAACACCACACATATCTAAAATTCATATATATGTACTTGACCTCTGACCTTTCTGACATCATATGCCAGTAAAACGTATTTGAGATCTGGTGACACAACAAACTTGGAGGCCTCGAACTCTGCCTGTGTGATAGATCAAACAAATGATAACAAATGGTTATCCCTCAACAATAAACATTATGATGCTGAAGTGTTGCAATGTGTGACTATTAATTATGAGTTTTATATTTCAACTTTTCATAGTTCAAAATAAATGAGCAAGTTGTAATATGGTATGTGTATGTTTAGGATCGTAGGGTCAACAGTAGGCTTCCGTGTTACATGATTGTGGCATAAGAAATATTTTTTCAGCTCTTGCATCTGTTTTAAAAGTTAAGTGCAGTTTTCCCATTTGAAATACTTGTCTCATTTGTATAACATCACTCACAAATGTGGTGTTTTTCATTAAAACCTCCGTCTGATTGATCTCCATGTTCAGAATCTTTAGATGTCCATCTCTGTCCTTGTAGACGAGTCGTTGAGCTGAAACATATTCACACAAACATCCAGCACATGCTCTAAACAGCAGCGTCACACCGCTATTCAGATTCAAGAGTTAGGATTGTTTTATATTTTCTACATATATGTGTTTACTGCCATGTGTGTCTGTCTGACAGACACAGCTGCTGCAGAACGTGAACAGAGATTGAGACTGTGAGACTTGTGAGTGTAATCTTTCTCACCAGAAACCCACTGCGCTTCAAGATCATGATCCTGCAGCTCACTGGAGAAAAGGTCATCCAGGGTCAGACAGGATCTCAGAGTGTGGTGAGCATCACCTGAGACCATTAACACACACACACACACACGCTTACTTACACGAGCATGTTCAGTGTGAAAGTTACAAATGCCACATGAAGAAGTGCTTCTCATGCTTCTTAAGACTCCATTGAGCTCCATGTTAAAGATCTGCATGGACTAACCTGAGACTGTTTGACCTGACCAGTACTGAGTCTGAACTTGCTCACTCTCTTCGGAAATAACATGTAATTTCTTAAAACAAGGAAATTATTTGTCATTTTATTGAATTTTTTATATATATTTTGCTTGGTCAGTGTATTTGTGGGTTTTGGCTCTTTTACTGTTGTAGGCTGTAAAAATCTTAATAACTATAAAAATAACTGAAATAATTTGGCGAAGTGATATATGGAAGTGTAATGTGACACAAAGTTACCCGAAGATGACTTAAAACCAGACATTTTGGGGGCTCGGTCGGGTGACAGACTTCTATTCTACTCTGTGAATTAATGTTTACTGAGAGTGGAAACACACAGACCTTTAGACAGCAGAAAGATGGACAATCCGATCAGCGACAGCACAAACGTAATGACCAGAAGTGAGATTCCCACTCCCTTCCAGTTCATCTCAGTGGAAACACTTCCCACATCCTACAGAGAGACGGAGATAGATTTACATTTACATTTCCACTCATCTTTGAACAGAATGTCTTGGTGACCTTAGATTGTTTTAGACACACTGACCCTGTTTACTTTGCAGGACATTGCAATATTAATCCAAATTTGGTCATTTGCTTCTTGTAAGCTCCATATACATACATAAACCTGATATAAACCTGATAACCAGATTAAGCCAATATTCCATTATTTTCCAATTTTCCATAATCTGATTAAGTTGGCTGATGTATAGCTGTGTTCATCCAAATTATTTGTTGTGTTAACAGCTTATTCAGATGTACGGTGACTGGGAGGGGACATATTAACTCGTGGGAACGTGATGATATGTCGTGGCCATGAGATCATTTTGTCAAGGTAACGACATCCTTATGTCGTGGCCACGCGATGTGAAGTCGTGGCCGCGAGATGCTATGTTGAAGGAAAAACATCCATTTCTCATGGCCACGACTTCTTATGTTGAGGGAACAACATATTTTTCTCGTGGCCATGAG